GCCTCGTTCATGTTTATACAAGATTTTGACCTACGAATTATTATGATATACAAGTATACAAGGTTATAGAGCCAAATTGAGTTAATCTTCGAGATAATATAACTTTTTTATTTCTTGTACGAGCATAAGTATTTTAAAAATGGCAACCCTGGCACGGTCTGAACACGGCGCTGCGCGCACGCATCCGTCCGTCCAGTTCAATGGACAGGTTTTTTGTTAATAAAATACATCGGTTGCATTGTCCTGAACTCGAAGTAGAAATTGGTATTCAGGTTAAGATTTTGTATACAGTTTATAGTCCATTTAATTACATTTACCTATTATTAACATACCTATAAGGGGGAGGGGATTATTAGTAATGGACTAATGGCATATAGTGCCCTTTGGCAGCAATGTGACATTTACCAGGAAACCATTTTGGTTAAGTAGCCTGATTTTACCGAAAATCTCGGACATGGAGGCATGATATCTTAGATCTCCAGAACGGCAATGAATGGTTCTATTGGTGTCACATGATGACGTGATGTCCCTGGCACTGTTCATGTAGGCGATAGTTACAACGTACGAACAGGTGAGCCATAAATAAATGTGTTTACCATTCCAAGTACATAAATAAAATCTATGACAGAGTGTTCACAAGACTCATCACATATACCTACGAGTAAATACCATTTTTTTTATTCTTACACCAGAATTGAATAATCAATGCTCAATATTTATTGTATTCCACAATGTTCACAGTAAAATATGATCATAATTGGTAAAAATAGAAACGCAAACATAACAAAATTATTATTAAACTGAAACTGTTATTATGCAGAAAAAAATTGTTAACCCCACACCTTTCGATCCACCTCAATCTATTATTGGTTGTTTATAATTATTGTTTTATGAAAGCCGGCCTTTTATCGCCGTATTCATTTATCTATACAGGTTTGGACTGAAACAGATGGCGTCACATGTAACGGCACCGAGATAGAAAGCCCTAAAATAGAACTCACATGATTAAAAAGGTCACACTGTGAAGTTTAAAATAACCCTTTTATACAAATCTAGTTTTTAAATATACAATACCAATGAATACCTATTTATTAAATTACAATAAATGTTCGGCAAAAACTATATTTAATCGTTATTCAAATTAAATTAATTTTTATTCTTTTTTATTTACATTGCTTTTATATTTTAAATGTCTACGCTACAATGTACCTATTTTCTATTCTTAATTAGAATTCTTTATTGAAATAAACAATAATTTGCTACCTATTTTCATTGAAAAGACACATTGTAGAGTCGTTCATTTCACTTTATGTATACCATGAATAATTAATTAAACAAACTATGTTCATTTACACAAACTGCACCACGAAGATCATATAGTCATGTAACACAGACCAACACCTCTTGATTTTCCAGTGAACATTTCGTCTAAATACGTTATTAGATAGTATAATAATCACCAGGAATCCTATATCACGTGGGAAGCATAAATATTCATTGTGAAATATGCGAGTTTCGAATTTGTTCAGCACAACATTCCTCTTGAGACTAATAAATTTGAAAATGCATACAAGACTAAAATAAAAAAAAGTCATTAATTATCATTGGCGGTTAAAATGTGAATATATATTATATGATACTATAAAGTGACCTATTACGATTCATAGACCGGATTTATTTGTAAGACAGATAGTACAAAAGTTAGGTATTTGTGTGTAAATGCTCTGAAACTTTATAAGTAGATCTTGACAGAGAAAGATCTACTTATAACTTACTTGCTAGCATAAAAAATCACTATCTTCAAGTAAAGGTTGGCACCTTTATCAAATCAAGCAAATCTAACTATTTTATACTTCGATCAATTAAATTGATTAATGACTCAAGAAACCACAACAATGTGTAGTGCTTAATATGGATTTATGATTGAATAAACCGATATAGGCTTAGAGCACCTTTAGTGTTGTCATATCGTAATTTTGCTAAGTTAGATGTGTCATAATCCATACTAATATTATAAATGCGAAAGAATAACTGGTTAGATATGTTACAAATTACTATATTACAAATAAACAAAAAGAGAGTTTAATAGGGAATGACAATTTGTACAGACGAAGTAGCGGATAGCAGCTAGTATATCTATAAACAATTGTGAAAGAAAACAACACAGAAAATTTTTATGAAAGAATGTCATACATTATTTACTATCTTCCTACATTAAGAAAGAGCAGTTCTGTTCTATTTTCTATTTTCCATTACTGAGTCAGAAGTACAACTTATGATTCAAATAACTAAAATTTTCAACAGACTTAAAAAAGTATGGATATATAATACACAACTCTATATCGACGTAGACATGGAAATACTTCTAATAATCAATTACATATTTTTTTAATACAACAATTTCCGAAAACCTGTATTATAAAAGCTGAAGTTTGTAAATATATTTGGATGTTTTGTATACAAATGCAGTAAATCCTAAATTAACATCTAATTATTTTTATTATACAGCTAGTAAACCAATCATTCAACAATATAACATTGTACTGTAAGTATTTAGGCATCCCTATATTCAGTTGAACATAATGTTTCATTTAGCAATTCTAAAATACTTCCGTAAACATTTGAAGGCATATTAAACAAATATTTTTTGTTGACATACAAACAGGGTCACGAGAAAATGTTTAAACTATAATGAATTATTCAACGCTAGCTGATCTGAATGACAAATGTTTGGAATACGTAACTACGCTAACGTAAATTATTATGTTGGATAATTTTATAATAGTAACCGTGTGATGTAATAAGAAAAACATGGATGAGGTCAACTAATTTGAAGAAAAGACAACTGTTAGAAATAGAAGGGTCATGAGTTGTAACCCCGTACATATGTAATCAATGTGTTAAACAAACAATATATATATCCGAATACGTATTACCTGAATCAGTCCCAGTAATCTCTTTCTGCATCAATAGACTCCGTTGTAACAATAACGCATGCATTGAATTAAACTGTTTTCAAAACGTGCATTGTGGTGTAGTACCCAGTATACTCACAGAACACAGAACTCTGTTCTGTGAGTAAACTATTATATTACTAGAATGGGTGTCACGTTCTAAAAATAGAGATAAAAGTAGCCAGTTACGAAATGTGCGATATTGCGACTAGTGTTGCCAACAATGTTTGGGAGAGCCCACTAGACAGAACACTAAAAACCACCAAGTTTTTAAACATATTTTAATGGTAGCATTGCGATATTAATTTTGAATAAAAAGACATGGTTATCATTAAAAATAATATTCATTTATTTTTCAATCATACTTTATCTTCATCAAATAAAAACAAATACAATAACCATTCTAGAGTCTAGTTTTTAACCGAAAACTTCAATGATCAAAAGAATATTTGCCTATCGAAATTGTTAGATATATATCACTTTTGAATATGTTTAATCATTTATTATATTTATAATATTTATCATATAATGTAAAATCTATAAAAGACATTTGTCCACTAAAAATCCAATACCAATAAAGAGGGGCAATTTCATCTGATATAATGGAAAAACCTCTAAGGTAGCAACACTGATTGCCACACCAGTTGGCCTAAAAATTGAATAGTACATAGACGTGCATCGTCTTTTATTCAATCAAACTGTCCATGGTGTTTATAAACATTTACTACTTTCCACCAGCTGTTCCGTCAACGTGTTTACCATCAAAGTTATATGTCTTTTAAACTTGAAGACGTAAGTTTGGATTTAATGTGTAATTTGTATTTTTCGGATGTAATATCTTTTTTTTCATTTCTATTTTATTCGCATGTCGTTCTCATAATAATTGTTGTTGTATTGTTAAATTTATAACATTGAAATATTTATACTAATATGTAGTATATACTACAGTAACAAAAGACATCTAATTAAAATATTTATTTACCAGAGATTGGTAAGTATATCAGTTACCAATTACACAATCGTTTAGTGATAATTGAACAAACAAATTCATTATAAAAGACAAATTATATATACTACTAGATACGTGAATAAAACCATCTTGCCATCAGTGTAATTCACATACTTATTTACTTCAATTAGTATTTTATTACGGGACTAATTTTAAGTAACATTTATTGAATTTATTCCGTTCATGTATATAAAAGACATCATGGTATAAATTATAGGTATACATATAATACATAATTATAAAATTAATGAGGGGCACAATTTACCTACGTTTTGTTTACAGGACTAGATCCACAGTCCTTTATTTATATATACGTATGCTTGTTAAAACGTCTTTCAATCTCGGCTAAATTCAACCTTAGTACAAAACAATCCCTCGGCTTTCCCCTAAAGCTTGTCCCAATTTCATCCCTCCGCATTTTGACCTAGTTCTGACAGTCAACTCATTTGCCACCGTCGCTTTAAAATGGGGTTGCATGTAATCATTCTTTGCCCTTATACTCACAGTGTTGGATCCTACAGAATCTATTCAAAATGTTTTTCCTTTTCACCAGAAACATACATAATGTAAAAAAATATTTAAATTGAATGAAGATGAAAGTAGATAAGACCTATAACTTCCCATTTGCAATTTTTTATGATGATAGCAAACTAGCTGATTTATATATATATAGTCTACACTAGTTCCAAGAGCTGACTTGACAGGCTGCAGAATTAAGCTTCATTTTCCGCTGAGTTAAATGTATTGTTCAAGATTGACATGTCATATATTTAACTAATTTTAGCAAATTAATCAACAATTTAGCATATCTTAGAAATTATTTAATTTGACAATTTTATTTTTTAGACCTCGAGTCAGTCATTTTACTTTGTCCTAATTGACTAAAATTTTACAACCATTGCCACTTTTTAAATGTCAGCGTCATAAAATAAGTGTATTCTATAAACTTCATAATAAAAAAATAAACGCAAACAGAGTTTTCTTGGAAGCCTAGGTCACTTATTGTGTATGTAATATTTGTGTGCAATGTTGGTATTTATTTAGCGATACGTTGTACTTGACAGACAGGCTAATGGGGCATTTTATACGAACATTCCATATAGAAAGAGGAGCTGTGGTTGGCAGGCGACATTTGAAAAGGGTAACTAAGTGTAAGCGAAAATAAATTCTAAGTATGTGAATCTATGTGTATTTTTCAGAAATATTGTTAATGCATGTAATGTAATTGAATGAACAAAATACTTAATACTTACACTTTAGTTGAATTTTCTATAGTAAACAATACATATAATACATGTATTTTATAATATATTGTATCATTACTTTATTATATTATATATATTAATAGATATATATATTAATTACGTGCACCACTTACCCCTTTTTTTATCTTCTCTACTCAAAGGTAGTCGGGAAGAGATTGCTTTGCGATAAGACCGCCTTATGTATCAGTTTATGTAATCTTATTATATTATTTTCTGTATCTAGTGCAATAAAGATTATTAATATATAAAAATATATAATCAAAAACAAATCTATGTTGAAAAATGAACAACGTACAAAATATTAAATTAAACAACAAAATAATGCGCTCTTGGCGTGTTCTCTAAGACCTCATCGTAGCATTGAACTGGTTTCAAATATGACTCATTTTAGATGGCTACTTTTAAAACTTTATCAGTTTAATACAATACAAAAGAACTATTAATCTTTAACGTATCTCGTATAGTACTATCTTTATTTTACTATTTTGACATTGGTTGTCAACAATTACCAATATCCAAATAAACTCAACAAATATCTAAATGGAGTACTTACTGATAATTCTTAATATACCTAGTACTATCTTTATAAGTATAATGATATATTTTTGTATTTTATTTAAAAATTAAAACTCTTTTAAAACAGATGCAGTAACAACACAAAAGAGAAAAATAGTTCCGGCAAAGAACAATTAAGGGAATCGATCTATGATCCAAAATTACTATGAACAGATTTCTTCAGATGAGTCTCTAAACCTTTCCATCACAGCATAAAATCACCTTAACCAATATTATAAGAGGAAAGATTTAATTTGATTGCAATGCATAAAGGCAAAAAATAAAACATTGTTTTGAAATTTCTTTCACCTAAGAATCAGAAGAACCTAAAGAATCAGATCAGATCTAAATCAGCTAGGAACATGGGTTGTATTTAAAAAAAACAGATCGCTATCGCAAATATGCGTGTGAAGCAGGAGCGCGTCGATAGTAATTATTTTAATATATAAATAATATTATTAGTAATGGTTTTAACTCATACAAACCATATATACGTGGTAGACAGGACAAGGTCCTCTTACCCACAACAGTTCAACGACCGTGCAGAACCAACAGCCCGTCAATGTCGCTGTCGCAACGCAACGCAAGGCCGATTTTGTTTTGGCAAGTTGATTCCACTACAAAATGATAATAGATACTTTATTATCTACACAGAAACATTATTAAAAAAATACATTATTATAATATGTGGATTATAAAGTTTAGTAATACGAGTTATGAAAATTGACACCAAATAAATATATAAGTAATAAAAAGAAATTTATTTTAAATTTTAATTTCGGTATAAAAAATTAATTACTTACATTTATTTTTTTATACAGGAATTAATATTTAAAATAAATTATTAGATTCAATTCAAGTATAGGTACAGAAAATATATTATATTCCCTGTTATATATCTACATATAATGAATATTTTCTAAATAGAGAACGATACAACAGCTCTCTGTTAAATAGAAAGAATACCATATTAAACAGTTCTGTTTATTGATTACAATTTAATTTATTTACAAATTCAATAAGTAATAGATAAAAAAGTCAAATCTTGTAAAATAAGGTTTCACTCTAATGAACTATTATTTGTTTTCAATGCTATGTATAATATAATAATATGATATACTTTATTTGCTACGTAACAAACACACAAATATGGTAGATAAATGTAAAAAAAGTGTTCTATTCACACAAAATAAATTCCTTTCCTTCCATTACAACAAAAGTAAAATTTATATCGGATTCTATATATAAAGAAACTAATGAACATTGCCGTCATTGACTTGGGTTGAGTAAACTGAAAGTCTGTAGACACGCTAGCATATAATAGAAGCACTAATGTGCCCAGATTATACAAAAAGTAAAATAGTGACATGCCTCACAATAAGAATAGAAAAAACAGATATCGTATTTTAATGTCAAGTAAAGTACACAATTACTTGTATGCTAGTAATATTACCCAATAAGCTAGCCGGTGCAGTCAACTGTAATGGCACGGTAAATTGATTGCGTAAACATTGTTTGATCTCACGCCAACAAAGTAAAATATGATAATTATTACATAAATAGAAACTACGTTTAGAATTTACTATACTGTATAATATAAAGTAAGTTCACTTTCGTTTTTAATGAACTACATTTTAATTGACTCACATGACAGCCTCGGTGGTCTAGTGGTTTAACAATATAAAAGTATAAGGTTGTACGAAAAAAAATGTATCCATGTATTTATATCATAGTGTCAAACTGTGTGATACGTGAGATATTATTATTATTATTATAACAATATAAAAGTATAAGGTTGTATGATCATAGTGTCAAACTGATACTAAACATGTATTTGCAAAAGAGATATGTCTTACAATACTATAAAAATATATATAAATAAATAAAAAAATCAAATAGTAAAACACATCATTCGCATCAAGAGATAAATATAAAATATTACTATGATAAAATGATAAATTACTGAACATCGGCGAAGGTAACTAATATGTATGGAAATTCTCTAATAATGGTACTCAAACGGTAATTTTAAATTTTCTCATTCCTTGTAATTACATCAGTTATCATATTATCATATATTACGTGTTAATAATGTTTACACAAAACGTAATAATGTGTATCTGCGGAGACGACATCCTACTCAAGACAATGCCAGTATGTTATTTACGTACATTTTATCATTGTATCTACACACACATATCATTTTATACTATTTGTAAGTATATTTCCATTTACACATCTTAGAAAATCTTTTTTTTAACCTATCGTAACATAAGAAACACTGAGAAGGTGACAAACATTTTACAATTGCATAATAATTGAATGATTAATTATTTAAATGTGGGTTATACATAAATTAGTTTAAATACCCTTCTTCTTATTTAACGTATTAATTATACAGGTAAATTGGTGTGTACATTGTTTTGTGATATATCACACTTTTCTTTTGTGGACTCCCGCGATACGAATCCGCCTGGTTGAATCTATAAGAACTGTATTATACTAATTTGTAAATGTATTGTGTAAAACAATATATATAAATAAATAATATAATTAATTAGGAAATTACATAAAGTTCCTAACAATTGACGCTGTTTAACGAATCTTTATTCGTAGGACATCTACAGAAAGAGATTTTTTAAAATAGACATAATGGCATTCAAGGGTCCCTGCCTATAGTTACTACATAAGTCAGAAAAATTGTAACTAAAAGGACATTGTAAAGTATTTTTCGAGATTGAACTTTGTGTTTCTTTCTCATTGTCTCTAAACGTTGATATTTCCTCAGACTCGCGGTGGATGCGATTGTCACATGATGAACATTAGTTTATAGATATAAAACTCAACCAGGTTTAATATTAATTATGCAGTATCATTTGTATGTATTTAAATTATTGTTGCATCAAATTGGCCATATTACGGAAATAATGATAACGATAAATTGTGAAAGTGAAGCCCTATTTGAAGGAAGGAACGGAGCAAAACCACTCCAACCGGTTTCGGTAGTTGAACTCGTGTGGAGACTATGTTGAAACAACGGACTTGTGGAAAAGGTGTCTAATATATGATAATCAGCTTTATCCATCTACATAAATTAGATTATATAATATTAAACTATAATTTCAAGTTCGATATTCCCATAGCTATAGCTACAATAAAGTTTAAATTTTATATTTAGTCATAAATTACAATTATGACTCATTACAATATTAATAATTCGTACTACATAAATATTTCGCCATATGACTTTGTCAGTAATAGTCGCTAAAGAGTAGAATTTGCTAGGTACGGTATATCACAAACTAGAAAATTATAGAATCGACCTAGATTGTTATAGATTTTTAGAGGTTAATACATATTATCAAAGAATTTATATGAAGACAGTTCAGTATTACTGTACGACTACAGTAATACCAGGTGTTAGAAGTTATTTTTTTTACACACAGTAAAACGGTATTTTCTCCACGAGCAACTGGACTGGTTTTATAAGGGCCAATAATAGACCAGTATTACTTTTCTGAATTATTAACTTCGTCGTAATAACGTTAACTGTAATTTAATTGCAATTATTAACTAAGAAATCCATTAAACGCCATCAAATAATAACGAACATGGTTTTATGAGACCAAACGTTGAAAATAATCAATAACACATACTTAATGGGTCGTCATTTCACAAATAGCTTAATCGTATAACGGTTTGTTTTTTGCATAACAATACCTTCCCTTTTGTGATGGATGTTACTGTCATTAGGTACAGTTACAAGGCTTATCCTTTACGTGTAGGTATAGATAGCTATGACTTGGTAAGAAATATTGATCATAAACAGTATTTATTTTTTTTCGTTATTTACGTTTTCATTAAGTGTATGAGTTTTATTTTTGTTTTTGTTTTTGTTTTTGTCTCTATAATGTTACTACTACTTTTACAAAAACTGAAACAAATATAGTAGGTAGGTACCTAATATAGGTTTGATTTATTAATCTACCGGCTGAGCTCGCGACTTCATTCACGATTCATGAGCGATATATAAAAAAACTTTTTGATTGTAAACTTATTGGAATAAAACAAATACAAAATTTTATAGTTTATAGTGAAGCACAATTTATTAGTAGACACCGCATCCAAATCAGTTAATTCGTTTCTGAGATTAGCGTTCAGAAACAAACTGAATAAATTCTGGCATATTCTAAATTGTAAAATATATTTTGCGTAAGAATTGAA